GAATGGGATCACGTCCCAATCCTGCACCATTTTATCCCACTAGCTAATGACATACTGTGGCCAAATGTAATATATAAACTTTTGGTGTTCGGTCTGATGTGTCAACCCATTAATTAAAGCTTCCGACGTTTCCGAGTGTTCAGCCTATGCAGCTCTGAAATCAGAACAATTTTAAACAAGGTAATCGGACAGAACATTCCATTCCATTCCTAACAAGACACTACTTTTTTGTGTGTGTTACTGTTTAAATTTGTATGTCAAAGTTCATCAAAGGTGAACCATGACTTGCAAATGTGCTGTGCTCAATATTATTTACAATTTGGTGCTCCCGGCATTGTATGAACGTGATTTTATTTATTCCAGCTCTGTCTCTGCATTGTTAGAGTAGTTGAAGCAACACCTTTGTGTAGTCTCTGTTTCTGCTGGCATTTCACACTCATTCCAGAAAAATTTGTGAAGGAGTTGTGTGGTCCTGCAGCACATGTTGTAAGCTGACCTTTGACACCATGCAGACCAGAGATTCTTCCATATTTGAGAGGTGGTATCTGGATATTATTTCAAGATTTAAGTATTTTTAGATTTACTTTTCATATTTTTGGTGTAATCCTTTTTTTCACTGTGCACATGGCAGTTTACATTTTAAGAATGTTGTGTGTCTGTACTCATGTGGATCCAAGAAGAACTGTTTATTTTGCATGGTTGTTTTAAATATATGTCCGTGTTTATTTTAACTGTCTTTAGACAACAAGGAAATGAACAATGTGTGTTTGCACACCAGGGGAGGCTCTCTTCAACTTGACTGTTGTGCCTAGACACACGCTTTGGTCCTTCATACGTACTGAGAATAGCACCATTATCTCTTGCTCACACACACACAAACACATATTAGAGCTGGGATTCACATATTTGTTTCAGTTTCTGTCAAATACACACACAAACACGCACACAAAACCTCAGTCTGGCCTGCTTAAGCCCCTGTTCCTTGTGGGGCTCAGTAAGAGGCTAAGGGGATTTAGATTGTACAAGACTGACAGATTCAGACTGACTCCCTCCCTTGCTTTCTCTCTCTCACTCCCTCGCTCTTTTCCAGGTCTACTGTAAAGTCTAACTATAACATGCGAAACAGATGGAGCAGCAAGAAAGGAGGAGAGAGGAAAGGAAAGGAGGAGAAGATAGAGGACATTAGGGAGGAGAGCAAAGAGATGATGCCAGAGCAAAGATGGGAGAGGTTATAAGGACCAGGACAAAGAAACTGAGAGGAAATAGAAAAAAAAAGTCTACATAGTGTATGTTGAAGTGTGCTTGTACATCAGAGTGCTCCTGTAAGGGTGTGTTTGTGAACAGCACAGGAAGTGGTTTACAGGTCTTTGTCTTCGTCTTTATGGATATTAACCCAAGGAGCAAGTTAGCAAGCCTGTTATTTTTGTGCACCAGTTAACAAGCTACACAACAGGTGGCATGTCAAAGGTTGTGTGTGTGTGCATGCATATGTGAATGCAGTTCCAAATTGCAAATACATATCTTTATTGTTCTCTTTAAATAGCAGTACTAATATTTAAAACTCAGTTGTTGTTTTTCTTGCTGTCTGTTCTTGACTCCCTCTGTATCTGTGTCTTTCTTTTTGTCTCTCGCACACACACGCATGCATAAAGTGTGTGTTAGCAAAGGCAAAGCTCATGGCAGCCATCCAACAACTCTCCTCTCTGCAAATTAACTCCTGGAGGAATTCAAGGCTATAGTTTTCCTCTTATCACGCACACACACTGCTTTGTGGTGTTTTCTCAAACATGAATGTTATTTGCTGTTGCTGAATCACATGTAAAAGAATTTTTCATTGTCTTTGTTGTGAGATATGAAAGAGATATAATTGTTGACTCTGTGTCTTTCTCTCTCTGTAGACTCAAAACCGGATGAAGCTGATGGCGGACAACTATGAGGACGACCACCTGAAGGTCTCCTCTCCAAACTCAGAGCAGCCCAACAATCACAAGCCCTCCCCAGACCAGGTAAGTTCTCCGCCTGGGTTAGTGAGCCTTCACCTGGGGATAACCTCCAAATATTGTCCCAACCCCCATACACCACTTAAAACTAATGTCATCACTCTTATGTGGATGAATGCATGCTCTAAAATAACATTTCTAAATCTTCCTTTTATTTTTATTAACAACTATGTTCAAGTGAGAGACTACTTGGGTGTAAAGTTTACTTATTCTCTAATTATTTATATTTGTTTTAACTACTAATATTTTTTAATTAAACTTTTCTAACATTACTGTGCTTACTTTGTTTGTCTACAATTTCCTGCTTTCTCCAAACTCACGCTGCGGTTGGACTGAACTAACCAATAGGACGATGAGGAGGGCATTTGGGCCTAACGTATCACATGCCTTCTTTCTCTCTCTCGGCACGCCATTTTGTACAGAAGGGTGAGAGTCTTCTTTATCTGAATCCAATCACGTTTGGACGTGCTCATCATTCATCTTCCGGCCTATCTTGTTTTTGTTTCATCCGTGAGTTTGTGATCTGGTGCTGGTGATTCTTTTGTTTTCATTTTTGCAATACTCATTATTCCATTTTTTAACTGACATTAAATCTTGAAACTCTTCTTTTTCCCGAGATCTTCCTCCTCTCTTTTTGGGTTAGGGTTAGTCATTTCTCATTCTCTTGTGTGAGTGACCGCGATGAGGTCCATTCATTGTGTAAACAGGAATGCTTTGAAATCAGCTCTTGAATTTCGTGCTCCATCTGTTCAACGTCTCATCTCAGCCTTTGATTTCAATTCATTTTCTTCTTCTGATGATCATTTCTTCCACAGTCTTTATTTTACAAACTTAATTTTCTCCATTTTCATTTTTTTTTATCTATCATTACTTCTTCTCACCTTAATTTAATGATTTCTCTGCATGTGCTGCTTTTTGCCTTCATCTCTCTCATTCCTACCATTTTTTCTATCATCTTCTACAAGTATATCTTTGTTACTGATCCTCCCCATCAGTGCATCACTTTCATATGGATGATTCATGTGTCAGTCTTTATTCTTTATCTTCTTTCTTGACATGATTTAAGAAAGCTGCTGCTTTGCCAAGATGCACAGTAAAAAGTTTAGTTTTTTTAGGAATGATAAAAGGATTTTCCCCTTGACCCTACCACGGTACTGTTTTTTAATCACACGATGGGGGTTTCCAGTATTTTTAGGCCCCAAAGGTCATTAATCGCACATCCATGACAACCTTCAAGTCAAGCAAGAACAAAAAACACACCCCCACAAATCAATACAGTCTTTCTTAAGACAAAAAATTTCACTTTTTTGCTTTTCTAATGCACATCTACATGTTTCACCAAATTTCTTGAATACTAAAACCAATGAACACTAGTGGAGGATCTGATAATCTGGCAAAGTCACTTGTTTGGGAAGTTGAACATTTATACAAGTGGCTTTAAGTTTTAAAATGATATAATTCTGAACGTCTTTCAAGTTTGGTCTCACATTAACAAAAGGGTGGTTTCGGTTTGATCTACTGACAGGACAGTGGAGGCACCACCACATATGAGTAGCACATGTTGCTTTTAGCGCAGCTCAGTTCTCCCAGTGGGATTTCCCATTGGGATGCTAAAAGCCCAAAGGTTCACTAACGCATCTAAGTTTGACCCTGGTTATTAATTAGCGGTAGCACCTCCCTGCTGAGCGAGGCAGGCCAGCCAGCACGCACACAGCTGACATACTGACTCTTTTTATTTCCGTCTTCATGAGTAGTTTCACACACACATGTACAGTATATACACACTTCTCCTTGGTGTGTAAGGCAGGTAATTTGCCATAGCGCATTACATCAGAACAGTGAGTGATTGTGTCTCTTTCAATAAGGGAATTCTGTACTACAGTTGGAGAATGAAATGTGTCAGGAACAGCTGTAACAGAGAAACACAGGAGAGCACTCTTAACACACACCAAGCATTGTTGAGGACATTTTTATGTTATTTTGAGATTTTTATTGGTCTTCCGTGGTATTAGATGCATCAGTGAAAAAAGACAGAGAAGAGGTGTATATGTTTATTTCTATAAAAGAGTTGGCTTGGTTTGTGAGGTTTTTTAATATTTTAAGAGGACTTCATAAATAACAACGAAAGCTCTTACCTGCTATGTCAGAAATTTGAAGGGCCTCAAAACATTGGTCTGTACATATGAAAGCTACTTTTTTATTTTAAGTGAAATTATTCACAACTTACTTGACAGAATACAAGTAGAAGACTGGAGTAACATTCTCTCCTGTGTGATTAATATTTAGTGCAACATTTTTCATTTGAGATGAAAAATCCTGCTCAAGTGTTCATATGCACATCAACAAATATAATAAATACTCGATATATTGGTTAAACTGCATCTAAGTTGTGGATAAAAAAGGGAACACATCAAAGTCTGTTAACAGGTATTGGGGAGTACTAGTGCAGGAAGAAGTTGAATAAAAGTCTGATAATTTGCCTTCGGTGATCACACAAGGCATTGTACGTTGGGTCTGAGTATGAGTTTGAGTTTGCTCGAGGATACATTGATACTGTCTTGTACAACTAAAGTCTGATCTGTTGAGGTGAAGTGCCTTGCTTAAGGGCTCTTTAGCAGTATAAATGAAAGAGGGCCAAGCTTTGTAGGTGTGTGTTTTATATTAAAGAGGTTTTATTTGACATCAGCAGCCATGATTCTGTGTTCTGCACTGAAATCCTCCTATAGTTGCTGTTGCTGGTCAAATAAATGTATTTGTGCTTTGCTGCGTGTGTGTATGTCTCAGAGGGATCTGTGGAGAAAGAAAAATCCTGATTTCATCATATAATGTGGCCATAGAGGTTTTTTTTTTAAAATGTGGTCAGTGAGTGATAGCTGAATGTCTCTCTTTGGAGTTGTTTCATAGTACAGTAAGAGTCTGGTAGGCAGGCATGGGAGGCTAATAAAGAGGCACAAACACACACACTCTGACACACACACGGTGCTGTATAAAATTATGTGTCCTATGGGGTTGTTTCATAGTACAGTAAGACATTGGAAAACACTGTGGACTCATTTAACACACTGCATAGTATTGCAAGTTGTGTAATATAATAAAAACATACAAACACCTTAATAAAATCAGTAAATTCAAAGCCTTTAAGTGCTGCAAAAACTTTCAGAGGTTACATTGTTTTGTTCATATTTCACATGACTGTTACTGAGGTAGATTCAAATTTTAGACATTTGTTTCTGTTAGTTATTAAATATTTCTTTAAGAAAAAAAGAAAGCATTGGTGTTGTTATTTCTCTCTAAATGTCTTCCTTATATCGCCGTCATTCCTTCCATTCTTTCTGTCTGTTCCTCATTTGTCTTGTATTTGATCCAAAGAGCTCTGCTGCAGGTCTGGAAAGTGTGGACAGTCTTTTGACAGAATAGTCTGGATTAGAAAGTGTGAGAGAACAGCTGTTGCACATACGTTCAGATTTTAAGAGATGTGTTCACATATTGTAATATGACACAACAGAATAGTCTTGGAGCAATAACCTGATTGTTGTTGCGTCGCAAGAGTCAGTAAATAACATACAGCAACAGGGTTGTTCTGAGATGCAGAATGTGTAGGATCCCTGCAGCCCTTAACTCCATCATCTCTTTCCGTCTCCCTCTTTCCTCCAGAGGGAAATGTTCAGTAATGTATTTCGTAATGGACTGTAACCTACTGGCAGGTCCTTACTGGAAAATACTGTAACCAGTGCTATTTACAACTTTGATAACGACCCTGTATGAGGGTGTATGTGTGTTATTCTGTGTCACAATGTGTTTGTGTCTCTGCATGTACCATATAAGTATGTGCACTCACACATAATGTATAGAACAGTGTATATACGCAGTGTGTGTGTGTGTGTGTGTGTTTGTGTGAAAAATCTGCAGTTGTGAGCCAGGAAGGTGGTTTAGCTTATCTTGAACACACCAGTGGAGATGAAACACAAAAAATTACCCCCAGTGTGTGTGTGTGTGTGTGTTGTGTTTGCAGTAAATAAGGTAAGGACTCAGAATCAGAAGTGACAGTTACTTTGATTTACTGTCAGCTTTCATTGTTGCAGTGATGCTGCCAGAGAAGAGCGTGCAATAAGAATTTCTTTTTTTTCTCCACAAAAACCACCCACGTCTAGTTCTTTCATTTGTTTGCCAGGATGCTCAAACAAATGAAGTTACTGAATAATGAATGTTTCATATATATGTAGAGTTTTATAAGTTTTAAAAATCTGCCTATCTGCAGTTTGTTTTCTACTGTCGACTGAGGCTGGCATTCAGATTTGGATATAAATATTTTAAAGATGTCAACCCATCTTTGGTCCGTTTGGCCAGCTCGGTTGTGTCAGTGTGGTTGCTATGCATGTAGTGAGTGTTTAAACTGTTGATCAAAACTATACTAGAGGTGTCCTTGTATACAGTTTTAACAAACAACTGCAGACCAATCAGAAATGTATAAGTATTATATTGAGCCTCCACACTGCACAGAGAAGCAGTGACTCTCCATTCTGTCTAAATTAAACACATAAAGAATAAAAGTCAAATAAAAACCTGAGATGACATTACATGGATATTTGAAATTCTTGTATTCAAACAGTAAAGAGAGAACCAGGCTAAAGAGCTGAGATGAAGTACAGATGGAGAGAGAAATTATGTTACTGTGCTGAGTGAATGGATCCTGCTGTCAAGTGTGTTTGTGTGTGTGTGT